TACTGCTACTGCTGCTACTACTCCTGCTACTGCTACTGCTACTGCTACTGCTACTGCTACTGCTACTGCTACTGCTATTGCTACTGCTACCACCACTACCACTGCCACTACGACTACGACTACTACTAGTGCTACTGCTACTTCCACTGCTGCCACTACAGCTAATACTGCTTACTACTGCTATTGCTGCTACTACTGCTACTACGACTACAGCCACTGTAATGCAACGGCCAAGGCCACTAAACCGTCTCGCATCCTCACTGCGTGCCATGCTGCGTAGGTACTGGCCATCAGACCCCTGCTTGGAGCCCACCACCCATTTGAAACCTTTGTTTGGGGTTGAAGTTGAGGGTACAGGGTTGAGGGTTTCACGTCTGATCAGTCTGTCAACTGTTGCAGCTGATGGCACTGTGAGTCTTCCCGCTAGTCCTTGCCTGTCTTCCGATATTCTTGCTGTGCACGTGATGTGAGTAACAGGACTGGGTAGCCTCGATCCTATGATGCCGCAAGTGCAAGAGGCCACATAACTGCTACACAGAAGCCTGCCGTTCAAATGAAGCTTGCCCTGGGAAACCTCCAAATTTTTGTCGTCCTCATTTTTTGACGACTTCCGGATATGTTGGCCGATGGGCCTGGGTCTTCATGAAAGGCAGAAATCAGCAGCTCGATGACACTTTGTCGAGCGGAATCCTCGCCAAACTGCATTCACAGATAATATGATTGACCAAGATGTGCCTCTGTCTGAATAAGACTGGAGTTTCCGGTGGGAGCAGAGTCACCAGACTGTGCATCCACGTCGTCACGCAATGCTGTGGAACAAAGGGCACCTTCAATATATTCTGCCCAGTTGATGGACAAGGCTTGGCAACACCCTCTGCTGAACACGTTCCGCTGTTGCCAGCTCTACTCCTAGCACGATGCCGGGTAGTCCAAGCCCAAAACAGTTACGAGTTGTTACCAGCCACTGCCAGTATGAACAGACTTCAACTAAAGCCTATACGGCCTATACTAGTCTTGATAGATGGGCTTCAACTTATGCTGGCAGGCAAAGCCATCTAACATAGGATCGAGCCCACAACGAAACCAATCAACCATCCTCTCGGCAATGTCTACAAGCCCCTGTCCGGAACCCTGTCGCCTCGTGCAGGTCCAGGGGCACAACATCCAGCGGCGCCATGCGCAAACTAAGACAATGAGACCATGTGGGGCTCAAGCCTGGCCAGTGCACTTAAGGGGACCGTGCTCTTCTGTGATCTGGCCGCGTCAGAAAAAAAAGGAACCCGCTGCCGGTGATGAGAAACGGTATCCTTTCATGCGCAAGGTCGAAGATCGCGACATCCAACTGTTCCGTAAGCTTTAGAAGCATGCTGCGCGCACGCAATTGTCGTGTCGTGAAATCTTGCCCCTCCCTCAGCTGCATCCTGTGAACCAGCTCAAGATGCAGCAGTTGTTGGATGGGCGGGCAACAGAAGATAGAGCGAGCGTGTCCTCCTGCATAATTAATTGGCAAGCTCGTCGACTCCACCTGCACATCCTTTGCAAGCTGAGGCAATCGCCTACGATTCGTCTCCCCACCACAAAGGAACTCAGCTGCTTTGAGCCTGGCATGGGGGAAGGTTTGGTAGGCGTCGAAACCCACAAGAAGCCGAAGAGGACTTCAACTACAGGACAAAGAATCTTCCACGCCCTTCATGTATTGAAAACGTATTGGTTTTACATTGCACGTGGAAGAATCGGGGTCTGTATGCTAGGGTCCAGTGCTTCTGCCATATAAGACCACGAGCAATGATGGTGATGCTGGTGAAGATGCTGATGTTGGTGATGGTGAACATGATAAAGAAGACGATGATACTGATGATGGTGGTGGCGGGAACGATAGTGATGATTATTATTATGGTGATGACTACGATTACGATGATAATATCATCCCCTGCCCAAACTATGGATAATATGTCGCAGATGATTGAGATGATCATCATGAAGTTGACCATCTTGAAAACATGCTCATGATGGTGCTGGTGCTTATGCGCGCTTATGTTGACGATGACAGCGATGACGTCGAGCAAGAACGCGAACTTTAGACATGTGCCGTGCCCAGACTCAGCAAGCCATGTCGGGCTGACTCAGCCAGGGCGGTGTCCCAAGCATCCGGTGCGGACCTGCCAGACTTCCAAGGGCTCAAGCACTCAAGGCTCCCGTCGCGTCTCGTTCGGGCCAAATGGGTCCGCAGGAAGGGAACTGGGTTTGCTGTCGGATCACAGAGATTCAGCTTCTTCCCAGCTCTGCGCATAAGCCGAAGCCTCGGACATCCTGGGACTTAGCCCGAGGTTCCCTAATCCCCCAGGTACCTACTATATAGGGTACTGGAGGTCCGAGGGCCCTATATAGTAGGTACCTGGGAGGTTAGTGGTTAGCAAGCTTGCAAGGTAAGCGATAACTTCAAACCTGACCAATTCTCTCGGACAGTTTCGGCAAACAAGTGGACAAACCGCAAGGAATATGTCTCGACAGTAGCAATAAACATGTTGTGCTTGTTATAACCATTGCGAATACAACGTAACTGTTGGCAATACAGCACAGGCAAAGACCCCGAAACTCTCAGCGAAAAATACGGATCGATGGATGCAGGTTGCGATTGCTGCGTAAGCAGTGTGAAGGAAAGGCGCCAGCGCACCTGGCCCACTCCATAAGCTGCTGCTCATTGGTGACCTGCAAGCTTCTTGCAAGGCTCATGGCCCGTGGGATCGAGGACGTGCCTCCGGTTCACCTCACCCTAAGCCCCCAGGTACCTACTATGTAGGGTACTGGAGCCCCTAGGGCCGTATATATATATATATATAATGTCTGTTTCGTTGCATCTGGCC